CCCCCCCCACACACACACACACACACACACACACACACACACACACAGTAAGAGGGGGAGACACAGTGTGTGTGTCTGTGTGTGTGAGAGTGTGTTTGTTCCAACAGTGCGGCCACGTTTCTGTCCCTCCAGCGGGCTGCCTGCTTCTCTTGTTACACACACAGACCGTAGGGGCAGGTACCCCAGTCTGCTCTGTGTGTGTGTGTGTGTGCGTGTGTGTGTCCCAAACCCAGCAGAAAGCCCCCAACCCCAGAGAACGAGCTGTCCCTCCCGAGGCACCCTGTCACTGCTGAAACTTTCAGCACGTTTTCATTCCAGGCTCCTTCCCCTCTCTTTCCCTCCTACAGTCAGTGTAATGTGCCACCTTTCTCTCTCTCTCTATAACTCCTCAGCACTCCAAAAACAACCCCAGCCAGCCCCACATGCTGGAAAAGGTCTGCGGCTCCCTCACCGCTTCTCCCGGGGGAACAGTACAGGAGCAGGCCATTCGGCCAACTGGCCCATGTCAGCGTCTGTGCGGCTCCACCTCTCTCTCGGCTCACCCGACACAGACAGAGAAATGTGTCCCACCCATTCACTACAACCACTCCCCATTGTGATCATATTCTTACCTCTCCCTCCCTCCCTCTGCAGGACTTTATTCAGAAGTTGCCCCATTGTACTTATTGGTGACTATGTGCCTCTGGTTGTGACTCTGTGGGGTGTTTTCATCTTCCCCCATTCAGCCCTCTCTCTCTCTCTCTCTTTGTGTCTATATCTCTCTGTAGCTGGATGCCAAGAAGAGTCCGCTGGCTCTGTTAGCGCAGACATGTTCTCAGATTGGCAAGCCTGATCCTCAGCCATCGGCCAAACTCAGCTCAGCACTCAGCTCCTCCGAGAAGGAATGTACCAGGCCCTCGTCCTCCCTCAAACTGGGCGAGGCCGCCACAGACGACAAGTCCAGCTTCAAGCCTTATTCCAAGCCGGGCACTGAGCCCAGGAAGGAGTGTGGGGAGAAGACTGGGTTCCGAGTGCCAGCTGTATCCTGCCAAAGCTTTGCAGGCCACCCATCCTCCTCCTCACCTGCTGTCTGCTCCCCGAGCCTGGCTGACAGCAAGACTGGAGACATGGAGGACAAGAAAGAGCCCGAGGTGCCTCGGGCCTGTCCAGAGCACTCGCCAGGTGTGAACCCAGGGCACGGCAGGTCGGTCAGCGCCGGTGGTGGTACTGCCAGTGATTCGAGCCAACACCGGGACACACCAACTGCAGCCAAGTGTGATACTGCTGGTGCCAGCCTGGCACCAGGACATGTGGCACCTGTTTCACCGTACAAACCAGGACACACAGTCTACCCTGGCCTGCCCCCGACCAGCATGGGATACCACGGGTCGATTGTCGGAGCCTACACCGCCGCCTACCCCTCGCAGTTTGTCAGCGCCATGGAGCCCAAGCCCGGCCTGGTCGGGAGCCCTTTGTCTGGAGCCGTGGGCTGTCCAATGCCTGGCAAGTCTGCCAACTCCAGCCCCCTGACTGGGGCCTCGCCTCCCGCTTTCATGCAAGGATTGTGCCGGGACCCCTACTGCCTGACCTACCACAACGCCCCTCACCTTGGGGGTAGCGCTTGTTCCTCCTGCCTCCATGACCCCTCCTCTCTGAAGTCTGGATATCCTCTGGTCTACCCGTCTCACCCCCTGCACTCTTCGGTCCTGACCACTGGTGCCACGCCACCCTTGGGTGCCCACCCGTTGTACACCTACGGCTTCATGCTTCACAGTGACCCGCTGCCGCACATATGCAACTGGGTGTCTGCTGGAGGGCCCTGTGACAAACGCTTCTCCAGCTCTGAGGAACTCCTCAACCACCTACGTAGCCATACTGCCCTGCCAGGGATTGACAAGCTCCTGGCTGCTTACCCTCCCCCGGCCTCCTGCAACTTACACCTTCCCCAGGCTCCTCCAGGGAGCCCCAATGGCTTGTCTCTCCGCAGCCCCCACACCCTGGCACTCAGCAGGTACCATCCATACAGCAAGAGCCACCTTTCAGCGCCTACCAGCTCTGCTCTCACCATGTCTGCTGCCAGCCCCTATTACTCTCCGTACTCCCTCTATGGACAACGACTGGCACCTGCTTCAGCCTTGGGATATCAGTGACCCGAGACTTTGGAGTGTAATGTCTGAAGCAGTCGGGGAGGGGGGCAGGATTGGGATGTATTTATTTACCTGTATGCATTAATTTCAAACAGGGGTCTGTAAGATCTCACAGACTCACCTCCTATCTAATGTAGAATGCAATGTATATACCAAACAGTTCTTTTGTTTTGCAACAAGTTTCTTCAAATGGTCTTATTTAAAAATATTTTTCTTTTTTTTTGTTTGTTTCTTGAGGGGGGTGGGAAAGGGGGAGTTGATATGCATGCTTTTTAGTAATCCCTCATTCTGCTCTGATTTGAGATTTTTGCTTATTTTTAACCAATGGAGATGTAATATTTTTTTGTATTGTACTTCAAATGGGAAACACGTATGATGGCAGGGCTATCCGAGAAATGGGAGGTCTTATTTTGTTACTAAATGAGAACCTAATTATATTTATATTCTGATGGCTGCTTCTCGTGAATTCTTCAAACTGAGCCCCCCCGCCCACCAGCCTCCTCCCCACACCACGCCCAGCTGACCCTTCCTTCATGGTGCCAGTGTTGACATAGTGGGTCACCCATCACTTGTGTCTTGAGTCCACAGCCCCTGGATTCTAGCCCCACTGCAGTCACTGAGCACAGAATCCTCAAGCTGGCTCTCACAGTGCAGCACAGAGGAAGTGCAGCACTGTCAGTGATGCCATGGTTCAGATGTTTAAAAACCTTCCAAAATGGTATGTGAACGATCCCGCAGCACTGTTGAAAGAAGGGCAGGAGGTGTCCTGGGCTAAATACCTCTCAACGAACATCAGGAAAGGAGAGCAGATGACCTGGTCATTTTCACGTTGCTGTTTGTGGGAACTTGCTGTGTTTAAGTTGGCTGCTGCATTCTCAATGTTACAGCAGTGTCTGCAATTAAGGCAATGCATTGGCTATGAAGTACTTTGGTGCCTGAACTTGTACAAGGTGCAGAAGCATCACGCTCCCATCTCTATCCTTCGTTGTTGCAGCCTCCAAAGCGTTTGGGGATCCCGTGGACTTTTGTGGCCTGGTGTCTAATGTCATAATTTAATTTGAGTCCAACTGAAAAGTTGTCACAGCTTTTCCCATCTCATCTGTGACATGGAGGAGGAGGAGGAGGAAACAGTGTGAGTTTGGGAGGAGGCAGCCTTTCAGTCTGCACAGTAAATGGAAGATGGACAATGAAGTGGAATTTCAACACAGCTAAATGTGAAAAATTACATTTTGTTTAAAATAAACGAACAACATATTACTTGGAAAAACCGATGTCAGTGATTATAGAGGGAGCAAATGAACCTGGGATGGTGAATATACAAATGGTGAAAAGTCATGACACAGATTTCTAAAAGCTGAGAAAAAGCAAACCATGCAGTTGGGTTTACTTCCACAGGAGTAAAATTGAAAAGTAGAGAGGTTATCCATCCCAAAGCCATATCGAACCTTGGTTAAACCCATTGGGAGGACTCTGGGCAGCTCTGATCACAATATTGCAGAAAGATCCAGAGGACTGGAAAATCTGCAGCGAGAGACTGACACAGTTGATGCCAGAAAGGTGCCAGAGGCTCAGGAGAAAATGCCCAAGGTTGGGTGGTTTTCTTTTGTCTTGATAAAAGAAAGCTGAGAGTTAACTTGACCAAACCTGGTTCAAAAGATTAAAGGTCGGGGCAGAGAAAATATTTCCTTTGATGGGGAAGAGCAGAAGCCATAACATTGCGATGCTCACTACTGAGACCCTTAGGGAATTCAGGAGAAACATCTCTATATCCAGAGACTGACAAGAAGGTGGAGCTCCCAACAAGTTACGTGGAGGGGAGGTAAGGTGAGCACACGAGGAAGAGAGGAGACAGGCTTTGCTGAATGGGGTGGTGAAGTTGGGAAGAGGCTTCTGTGCCAGTACGGACCTGTTGGGTGAACAGCCTGACACCGTGCTGCGGAATCTATTGGGCATCTTTAAAGGAATAACTTGGCTGGGAGAAGGGCACCACCTGGTGGGGAAAAAGCAAAGTGACGCAGCAGCAAATTCTGTGAACTGGATTTCACTGATTCAAACTGGGATGAAATATCATGGAAATAAACGGAATGGGGAATGTGCAGAGTCTAATCCTGAGGTTTGATATTCACAGCCCAGGCACCATTCCAACAGTTCCATTCTCTGCCGAGATGTTTAATTTCTGATACTTTGTTTTAAAACGAACAAATGCTGTTCCTTTTCCAAGTAAAGCATTCTATTCTCCACTGGAATTTCTTGTTTAAGCAAATCAACCAATTAAACAAAATGATTACACTGTGGAGGCTGGAAGTATGAAAAGAAAACAGAAAATTACTGGGATTACTAGAGAAAGACCTGCATCGATAACTGTGTTTGCCCCAACTACCAGACATTCCCTGACCTGCTGAGTATTTCCAGTGGTTGTGGTTTTCATTTAAGTGAATGAAATCAGGCTTGTACTTTCTGGTGAGGGATTGTTGGTGAAACGAGACAGCGTCGGTTTTTGTACAAATGTTTTGTCATCCCTCTCCTGCTGATGTGATTCTATCAAACACAACACGATGGAATTGGAGGGAGCCAATCGTTTGATGAATTTGTCCACTGGGAGCACCCGTTTTTCTGTACCATGCAGCAGTTTAAAAACAGCCTCTTGCTTGAGGCTAAGAATGGGCTAGTTTATTGGACCTGATCCCCCTACCCCCACCCCCTTTATTCTGCTAATTGGTAACAACATCCCACTTAACTGGGGACAATCACTGGACATTTGCCAGTGGTTCCCAGTTATGCCCTTTAAACAAGCTCAGGTCCTTTGGCCTGTTACCCCAAATCTGCAATGTCTGGTTTTGAGCCTCCCACTATGGTAACAGTTTGATCCCATCAGGTGCCTTTGTAACTTGGAGCACCGCTGTTCCATTTGCCCTGCACCTTCTCTGTTCTCAGGAGAACAGCCTCACTTTCTCCCAATTCCTCCGGGGGACTGGAGCGATTCATAATCTCTGAATATGTAACCTATGCATAATTTTTAATGATGTGTTCTTTTTAATCTGAGGGTAATGATGGGTACACAGTAAATTACAGCAGCATTGTCTTTACTGAAAATGTGTTTGCGAGGTTTTGTGAGATGACATGGATTGGAAACAACCTGTTGAAATTAGTGCCTGGTTTTGAGGGTGTTCCCCTGCATCAATTCTTGCTACACATGTACTATTGCACTTTTGTGAAATTAACTGGTGTAGTCAATGGGAAAACTAGAGATCTGTTGAGTAACTCAGATGACACTTAAAAACCTGTGTTTTCAAACCAGCGGGAGGAATGGATCATTCAGAAAAATGAGGATGGGATCATACTGTCTGAGCATGTGATTCAGATCAAAGACCAAAGTCACATGAGGAAATGTAACCTGTATCTGTGGTCTGCTGGCTGTTAGGAATCTTAGGTAAAGCCATTCCATGGACTTATAACCTCCTTTCAGTCTTAACCCTTCGATGCTGCAATGTCTACATCAACTCTGCTTATCTCATGTTTTTGGGCTGTTTTTGTATTTACGCAGTGTCAGGTCACTCCACATTTGCCAGGAAGCGCGTACTGTAGTTTCCTGCTGATCTAACTGTGAGACAGAACAGTGTCATCACGCTGTGTCAGACCTGATGGTGCTGGAAATGATTCGGAATTGGAAATCAATCTGTTTGTTTATCGGAGTCTGTCCCTACCCCCTGTACCTATCCATCCCCCGCAGCCCTCTGTACCTATCCATCCCCCGCAGCCCCCCGTACCTATCCATCCCCCGCAACCCCCTGTATCTATCCATCCCCCGCAGCCCCCTGTACCTGTCCATCTATCAATTTGCCCCGAGCCACTGTTGAAACTGATTTAGAATGAAAATGGACTTTGCCACTTGTTCTACTGGTATGACATGGGGCTCTGGAAGACATACTGCCCTGCCAGCACTGGTGGAGAGTGGAATTACAGTGTGACACATTTATTCAAGACAGTTCCCAGGACAGTTCGAGAACTGGGATGTATAACGAGTGTTCGTGAGCAATATGGACTTCAGCTCAAATTAAATATCAGTATCAAATGAACAACCAGATTTTGCCAGTCTCCTGACAGACTGGTTAGATTAAAATTGCTCAGATTCTAACCCTTGCAACTGAAAAGGTCCAAGTTAGTTTTACAGATAATGATGTGACACAGAAATGGATGATTTGCTGGTGCCGATATTTATGCTTCACTTGTTCCTTGTCCCTACTTCATCTCGGCCTATCAACAAATGCTGGCAAATGGGACTAGGTTGATTTGGAAGATTTGGTCAGCATGGATGAATTGGACCGAAGGGTCTGTTTCTGTGCTGTACATCTCTATGACTCCAAGACATCTCCTTCAGTTCATTTTTCCAGGTTATGTGCTTATCCAGCTTCCTTTTAAACTCACCTGCACTATTCACGTCAACAACTCAGTGTGACACCAGACTCCACAGCGCTCTCTGTGATTAATAATGTTTCCTCTAGACTATTTTAGTGTTGAGCTGCTATTTCCTGTCAGTGCAGTTAAAATGGGCAATGATGGACTCCAGCTGCAGTGAAGCTGAGCTTGTTGTGGTGGGCTCCAATCTTGAAACTGCAGTGACTGTCATATTTAATGTGATGGTCACTGAGTTTGCTTTTGAATCTGATAGATTCTCAGCCTCCAGAAACCTTCTGTTAATTGAGATCTTGCAATCAAGCTATGGAAGTGTTTTAGCCTTGGATCGAATGTTGACTCAGTAAATGAGGAGAGGCCATTTATGTTGGTAGAGCAAGGTCAGTAACCAGGGGACACAGGTGGAAGAAGCAGAGGTGAGATGAGAATTTTGCTTACACAGCAGGTTGTTGTGAGGTGGAACGCACTGCCTGAAAGGGCAGTGAAAGCAGATTCAGTAATCACTTCCAGAAGGAAATCAGATAAAAACAAGAAAATGGGTTTCACTTCCACTTACAGGGAAAGAGCAGAGGCAGGAGGGTAAATTCGAGAGAGCTGGTAGAGGCATGACTGGCTGAATGATCATCAGCTACTACCTTGTAAAGTAGCTCTTGAACCAAGGAAGGTTGGATAGTGGTGGGAAGCTCAAGACAAAAAGGGGAACTTTTTTTCAGTGTACATTGCCTTTCAGTGCTGCAATTTGTTCAGCAAAGTGAACGAATCCTGAATTATCCTTGAGAAGCAGGTATTGGGAAGGAGTCAGTCATTTATATAATTTGTAACATAATGACAGTTCTCATTTCCCTTTCCAACAGCACTGCATTCTCAAGGATGTCAAATTTAAGAAACTGTTACAGAATTATAGCCCACTGAGAGGGGTTAATGTTGCAATTGGCGAACATGCTTCAGTTGACATGATGGATTGGAATCAGATCCCTCCTCCACTTGACAGATTTTTTCCACATTTCTGAAGGAATTTCCACTCACTTAAAAGATTTCAAAGATTGTTTATTATTTTTAGACTGTCCCCGATTTGACATTTTTACGAATCACAGGAAGTGCTTGAAATACACAGTAGGTCAGGTCAGCAGTCTGAAGGAATGAGCAAGTAGCTGGGGATCGTGGACAGGCCGCACTGGATAGTGTTGAGGTTTGCAATGATTTGCAAGCAAGCACAACCTGACACAGTGATGCTGACAGGAACAGTGACACTGAGCCCTGACCGTGCACAACAGGCAAAGGGAGGGTTTGTTCCCCAGCAGCAACAGGTAACTGAGAGTGAGTTCTGACACACAACACAGCAGGGTCGGGAGAAGCATGAAGAACTTGGAGAGTGTTGAGGTTGGTTGGCTCACCTAGCTGGTTTGTTGTTTCGCAGACGTTTCATTACCCTGCTGGGTAACATCCTCAGTGCAGCCTCCGATGAAGCATCTGGTTTTTAAACTCTGGAGTCCGTTGAGCTGGATTACCTCACTTCTGGTTTTCCTTCATAGTGGAGTGTATATGGGGTCGAGTTCTATGTGTTTATTAACAGCATGCATCATGGAGTGGCAGGCTTTTAGGAATTCCCGTGCTTGTCTCTGCCTAGCCTGTCCCAGGATCTTGGTGTTGTCCCAGTCGAAGTCGTGGTTCTCCTTGTCCATGTGGATTGAGATGAGTGAGTATTGAACTTGGAGAGTTGTGAGACAACAGCAGGTTAGAGAGACAGGAGGGGGTGAAGCCATGGAAGGATTTGAAAAGGAAGATTAAGTGGGTTTGAGATTGAATGTAGGTGAATGACCAAGGAGGTCGGGGTACAATGGAGTTGGTGTGTCA